CAATTTGTGTAGTTTTCTTTGTTTTTCCACTCCTCTATTTTATGGATACATTTCTATCTTACTAGAAGAATACCCCGCGCGTTGCTGCGGAACTTTCTTAGAAAAAAAAATTCTTGCATGTATGAATTAAACCTATATATTTTTACATCCATTCTTACCAAAATTAGAGAAGGCAAGGCTATGATGACAAAACAAATAGCAATATATGTGCATGTATGAATTAAACCTATATATTCTTATATCCATTCTTACCAAAATTAGAGAAGGCAAGGCTATGGAATGACAAAACAAATAGCAATATATGAATGCCTTTATATTTCTTATATGTTAAAATTAAATTGTGCTTAGTGGAGATGGTGTGAACAGCTTGCATTAAAAGATTGAAAATTAGTGGGATGACATGGTTATTAGTAGGAGGTGATGTGGATAGGTAGTGGAAAATGATGCGGATTTCTTTAGAGCATCTTTAGGAGTTTGGAATATTTTACTTGCTAAACTAATAGATCTATAGTAAGCTAATAGAATAAATAGGAGCCTTAAATTTTGTTCTTATGCAACAGCATGCTATAATAGCTTCCTAAATGATTATGCATTGGGAATCCCCGATCTATTTCTAACCAACAAAACTTTCTCATTTGGAATCCTTTATTTTTTTTAATTTACTAATGCTTCCAATTTACTCACATATAGAGTTACTTTAGGCTGTGGAAACTTACGAGTTGAAGATAATATTTGGCATCTTTTTCTATTTATTAAAGAGTTTTTTAGTAAATTATTGGAGGATACTTTTTTATTTAAAAATAAAAATAAAAAGTTGTTTTATAAAACTCCTGGAGCGCGATCTGTGATCGCCAATCTGCCCATCGCCTAGGACGTTGTATGTCACACCGAAACAAACGAGTCAGCCGGCCGGTGTCGCGACTGATGCATGGTCTTTTTCAGTGTGGAACTTGAAGCTGCTGGCAGAGTCCTGTCGTTTGATGCACTGCCGGGAACAGGGGCACACGGCAAAGGCACAAAACACTCGGCAATCCCTTTGCTGAGTGTAACACTCGGCAAAGGGCACTCCGTAAATTTTTTATCCGCAAAGAATCTTTGCCGAGTGTTTTTTGTCGGGCACTCGGCAAAGACTTTGTCGAGTGCCCAAAAAACACTCGGCAAATATTTTTCAAAAAACAAACAAGCACCACCGGCCGCCACCACCAGCCATCGCCCACCACCGAGCTGCCTCCCGCCGCCACGCCACCACCGAGCTGCCTCCCGCCGCCACCAGGCCCGAGCTGCCTCCCGCCGCCACCAAGCCCGCCACGCCACCATGCCCGAGCTGCCGGTGCCGAAGCTGGGGCCCGCCTCGACCACGACCACCTCGCGGTCGGCCATCGCGCCCACCACCACGAAGCCCGCGCCCACCACCACGGAGTCCGCCGCCTCTCATGGGGCCCCCGACGCGAGGCCTCGCCCCGCGAGTCCCCGCCAAATCAGGGGAGGAGGGGCGGTGCGGCGACCGGATCCGGGGAAGAAAGGTGAGAGGAGGGGCAGGGCGGCGGCCGGAGAAAGGAGAGGAGGAGGGGTCCCCACCGGATCCGGGGAGGAGGGGCGGTCTGTGGCGAGATCCGGCCGGATCTGGGAAGAAAGGTGAGAGGATGGGCGGGCGGCGGTCGGAGAAAGGGAGAGGAGGCGGGGTCCCCATCGGATCCGGGAGGAGGGAGGCGGTCTGGGCGGATCTGGGAAGAAAGGTGAGAGGAGGGCAAGGCGTGGATTTGAAGAGTGGGGCGGGCAGGATTTGGAGAGGGAGGAGGGCCGGGCCAAGGATTTGGAGGAGGGGTCGGCGGCAGATTTGGAGAGAGGAGGAGGGGCAGGCAAGGCGGCGGATTTGGAGAGGAGAGAGGGAGGAGGAGGGCGGGGCCTGCAAGCATTTGGAGAGGAGAGAGGAGGAGGGGCAGGGCCATGGTTGGAGAGAGGGCGGCGATATTTTTTCATTTGCCGAGTGCTTTAGACCTGAGCACTCGGCAAAGTTTTTTTTTCATTTTTTTTCTTCTTTTTTTCCAGAAAAAAGATTTTATTTCTTTGCCGAGTGTCTTTTTAACACTCGGCAAACCCCCTGTTTGCCGAGTGTTTTTTTTACACTCGGCAAACCCGGTCTTTGTCGAGTGTTTTTTTTGCTGAGTGTTTTTAAAGCAGCACTCGGCAAAGATCTTGTTTGCCGAGTGTCCGAGGAAATACGCTCGGCAAACATAAAAACACTCGGTAAATTTGAGGATTCCGGTAGTGATGGTTTCAGTTTTCCTCGAGGCAAAGCGCACAAAGAAGAGGGTGATCTGCACCACTGTCATTGCTTACTACTATGTATCACAAATGCTGACCGGCAAAGCACATGTTTTGACCTGGTTGGCTGTAAGCGTCCCCCCCCTCCAATCAGGGCTCACATAAAATCTATTTCCTGTGCTCTTGGTTCCTCCACTCAAAACACCAATTTGTGTAGTTTTTTTTGTTTTTCCGCTCCTCTATTTTCTGGATACATTTCTATCTTACTAGAAGAATACCCCGCGCGTTGCTTCGGAACTTTCTTAGAAATAAAAAATTCTTGCATGTATGAATTAAACCTATATATTTTTACATCCATTCTTACCAAAATTAGAGAAGGCAAGGCTATGATGACAAAACAAATAGCAATATATGTGCATGTATGAATTAAACCTATATATTCTTATATCCATTCTTACCAAAATTAGAGAAGGCAAGGCTATGGAATGACAAAAGAAATAGCAATATATGAATGCCTTTATATTTCTTATATGTTAAAATTAAATTGTGCTTAGTGGAGATGGTGTGAACAGCTTGTATTAAAAGATTGAAAATTAGTGGAATGACATGGTTATTAGTGGGAGGTGATGTAGATAGATAGTGGAAAATGATGTGAATGTCTTGTATGTTGAGATAAAATTTATATTGGGGTTTAGCTTTATAAGAGATATAGGTTTCTGTGTTTTTTTTCTTTTATTTATTTTCTATTCCTGGCCCTATGGGGCGCCATCTCTGCCCTCAGTTTTATCGTGACCTCGTCTTTCGCTACAGCATAAATCTGAACTGGTTTCAAGTGTGTTGTTCTCGAAATTTCATGGGTTCGTTCCTTCTGTATGTCCAGAAACCGCTGCAATTATTGCCGCTACCTAATTTCCACAAAATCCTGGGATCTCGCCGCCGCCGCCGATAGTTTATTCCTGCCAGTTTGAAACCGAGGCATGATCGTGGACCATGGCTAATCGACAAGCTCATGTGCGTGCCAAACGGCAAAATTTCTTGGCACATGTAGAAAACTTTGACCTTATTAGCAACATATTATCCGTCACATGAAAAATTTAACGGGAAGAATAGCGAGGCACGAAAGGCGGCTCTGAGAAAGTTGTGAAACTTGGGGGTTTGGTATAGCTCAACTTCACTGGTGAAGTAGTTTTATTTTGGCATCAGTTCCATAATAAAATAGCTTCAGCAGTAAGCTAAAGCTGTTTTCAAAAAACGTTTAGTAAAACAGCTTTTCAGGGAAGAAAACAGAGAGAAAGCTGGGAGATGCTAGTATTTTCATATTCACATCGTTTTTTTTTGCACTGTGAGAGGAGATGAAAATGTTAGGGAGAAGTTTTTATCTGAACCTATTTGGTAGAAGAAGCTGAAAAACAGCTTTGTGAAATTGGAGCAAAAGCCCTACCAAATAGGCTCTTGTACATGACAAAGACAAACATGAGCGTCACATATTTTGGTCCATAAATAAAAATCAGAGTTTAGGATGGAAACTACACTACAACTAACATTAATGGGAAAGAAACTGTAAGGTCCCGTTTGGCAGGGCTTTTCTAGCGGTTTCAGGAGCCGCTTGGAGCCGTTTTCTGCCAAACGGGGTAAAATAAAACGGCTCCACCGATGAAGCCCTTAAAAACGTGCTCTCACAGAGCTTTGGGGTGGGAAGGAGCCAAAAATAGTGGCTTCTCTCGGCTTCACCTCATTCTACATGGCGTTCTCTGAGAGCATATTTTAAGAAAAACTATATGTGAAGCTGTTTTGCCAAACGATTTATCAAAACGGCTACAGCTCCACCCATAGAGCTGTTCATGGAGCTGAAGCCCCAAAAAGGGCTTCATGGGTGAAGTGGAGCCGTGCCAAACGGGGCCTAAGAGCCTCTTTGGCAGGGCTCCTGCGGGGGCTTCAGCTCTGGCTCCTGCAGGAGCTGTGCCAAACGCCTGTTTTGGAAAGGGCTCCGTATGGGGAGCCAGTCAAGAGCCAGAGCCATTTTTTGCCTACGCAGGAGAAGCCTCAAAAACGAGCTTCGCGTGGCTCCTTGCTGTGGGTTCACATCGTCTAGTGCGAAGGAGCCGTTTTGCCAAACGTTTTCTAGAACGGCTTCAGCTCCTCCAGAGGAGCTGCTCCTTCAGAGAAGCCAGAGCCGGAGCCATTTTCAGAGGAGCCAGAGCCCTACCAAACAGGCCCTAAATATGTGAGGTAGGGAAGGCAGCGGGGTGTCCGCTTGCGAGAACAGCATGGCCGCATGAGGCATGGCCGTGTTGCTTGGGATTTATTTATTTATTGCGTTTTTAAGGATCCAGGACATTAAAATTCTTGAAGTTTTGAGATACGCTATTACAGTTTATCTATTTGAAAATTTGTCATTATAATTTCATCCCTCTCGTTCATGCCATTTTTTACACTTCTCGTGTATATGAGCCCACTGTTAAGCACATAATGCGTACAAGCCCATGACGCGTGAGGCGGAGCAGCAGCGCTCGCCCGCAGTGGCCTGCGCGCGAGGCGGATCGGCCGCACTTGCCCGCGGCGGCCTGCCTCAACGGAGGAGCACGTCGGGAGCGGTGGACACACACGCCATGGCCACCTGTAGCAGCGCCACCATCTCCCCTGCGGCAGAGCCAGCCAGCACCACCATTGCCATCATCGCCACCACCTGTCCACGGGTGTCCGACCAGTGCCGCGACTGCCTGCCAAGTCCAAAATCATCGCTGTGCCGCGGTCGTGGCCCATCGCCGGCGAACCGCCCAGGCCGGGCATCGGTCTTCGTGCGTTGCCGCTGCGCGCGTGGCAGGTGCCGACGGGGGCGCTACCGCGGCTGCCCAGCAAGCTGCGGTTCCACCAGGGAGTTCTCGTGGCTCGACACCAGCAGCGAGCTCTCCTGGCTGCTCTGCGCAACTTGGCGCTAGGGAAGCGCCAGGGCCGGCGCTGCCATGGTCGAGTCGTTCCGCCCGAGGGCCTCGGCCACATTCGCCGCCGTGCCCTACGGCTCCACACAGTGCAGCTCCCGGGACCTGTTGGCGCGGTCGCTGCGGTCCATGTTGGGCTGCATGTCCACCGCGTATGACTCCTCCCCCAACAGCACCGCGACGGTCGGCCTGCACGCTCTCCTTCGTGATGCAGGCCAGCATGCACCAATTCTCGTACTGCATCTCCGACCGGACGACGCCGGCGTGCTGCTCCTTGGCCACAGTGACCTCGCCATGGCCGCCGCGGAGGAGATGGTGGCGCAGCTGCAGGTGGCGATGGCGTGTGTGTTCACCATGCCCAATGCGCTCCTCTGTTGAGGCAGGCCGCCGCTCCACCTCACGCGCAATGGGCTGTACTGGTATTTCTATAGGCATATGTACCTGAGAGTGTGCCCATGTACATACAGGGGTGTAGAAAATGGCATGAATGGAGGAGTGGTGGAATTATAACGAAAGACCTCCGAACAAACGAATTGTAATAGTGTATCTCAAACTTGGAGAATTGTAATGGCGTGGATAAAAAAACCCTCATTTATTAGCCAGTATTTTCTTTTTTACCTAATTATTTTAATTATTTCACTGTTTATTTTATAGAAGAAAATCAAGGGTTGTGATTTTCTTCAAATTAAATATGATACTATGAAAGTACTTATCATGACAAATCTATATAAGAGATTTTTTTATCACTCTTTGCTAATTAAACTAACTCATGAGCAAGTCAATTGAACGTGTTGTCTCAACCGATTTATTTATTTAAAACAGCCAAGCAATTTTAGGACCCAATAAGTAGTCTCGCAAAAGACTTAATTGCCGCACACATCACAATGCACATTCTCTTTGCTAATTAAGCTAAACATGTACAACAGACAGCTGCTGTCTCTAATTTCTTAGAATTTACAACACAGACAGCTCATACAACCCACAGATAGTGGTTATCTATTTGGCTATATACAAATCATTTAATGCTTGTATGTAGTCAAAATCAATCATGAATATCATTTCTATATATCATTGTATTGCTAACTACTGAAGAGATCCCATATGCCGACTCAATGGAGTCCAGCGACCTTTTTATAGTCTGCAACCTACGGCAGGAGACGTGAAGACTTTTGATTTTCCAGCCCACAAGGAGACATGCAGATGATTGATATTTTCATACAAGCAAACATGCAGACGTTTGACAGATTCAAACAATGAGACATACAAACGCAAATGTTTGATAGGTTCACACAAGGAGATAGTTTCACACCAGAAACCATATAACGGCTTGTTTCAGTTGACAAGCAAAAGACAGGTTTCAAGCAAAATTATCATGCCATCATACGGCTAAGACTGAAAATTATCATGTCATCAGACAACTAAGACTGAAACAAGACTGAAAATTATCATGCCATCGGTAGAATTTCCACCACACCTCACCATGGCTTCCTCCTTTTCCCTGCTAGTAGAAATGAACAGATATATCAATTCTAGTGAACTGAAGAAGTGAACAAGGATGGGTGTAGGCAACTGACAAATAACATACATGTAAACTAAGGCCCTGTTTGGATCCCATGGGAAAATTTTAGCCCTGCACTTTTAGCCCTTTTTTGCCATGGGGATCCAAACAGAGGGGCTAAAAGTGAGCAAATAGCTAAAAACTGGGTTAAAATCTTTTGCTCCCGGAAAGACCCTAAATTGGGCTAAACTCACAGAAGTGACGCCCCATATCCCTTGCCGCTCACATGCATGGCTGTGCATGGATAATTAAATGAGGGTAAATCAGTCATTGTAGATTAGAGGACTAAAGTTTAGCCCATGGATCTAAACAGCCCAGCAAGAGTAAAGTTTAGGGGTTAAACTTTAGTGCTTGGACTATTGATCCAAACATCACCTAACAGGTAACATAACATACAGGATACTGAAACTGACAACTAAGATTGACAGGTAACATACAGAATGGCTTGAACAGCATGTGTGCATACTTGACTAGATCATTTCAGGCAATAAAGTCTTCCTAAAACACTTTATGGCAGCAACACGCTCAGCTTTTTCTTCATCGGATATTGAACTTGTATCCTGAGAGACGAGAGTGTTGTAAGCATGCATCATCTTTGATTCCTTCCCAAGCCTTTTTGCCTCGGTGGTCTCCTTAGCTGTAAGATGTGCTAGTCTCGTGGTTTCAAGCTTCTCGGATAATAACTTCTATTGTACTTCCAATACCTTCATGAGGTTTGCATTTAAATAATCTTGGATTTTGCGAAATTTGTCAAGCTTCTCCACATCAATCGCCGATTCCTTTGATTTTCCATCATCATCCAAATTTGATCCTTTGGACTTCCCTTTTGCAGCAAGAGCGGCCTTTTTGGTTGCCTTCTGTCCACTAGGTCGCTCTGGCATTTCTTCAATATCATCATTTTCCTCCACTTCTCCTTCAATGTGATATGACTTCCTTTTACGTGCATTCCTTAGGTCTTCATTTTATGTTTTCCACTTTGGCTCCTCTCGGCATATTTTCCAAACATTCTTTAGCACAAAGGGACCTAGCTTTGTGTCGGTGTTTCGAGTTACCACAAACGAGTAAATTTCAAATATTGCGTGTCTGGCTCGGATGGTGTGTTTAGAGGACACGAGGTTTATACTAGTTCGGGCAGAAAGTCCCTACGTCTAGTTCGTTGCTGCTCGTGTTACTAGCACCAAAAGTTTGTAGTAGGGGTTACAAACGGACGAGAGGGACATGTCCCAAGTCTCTGGTGGAAAGAATGAACGGGTGCCGAGAGCTCGGACGCTGCTCAGCCATGCGCTCGTGTGTTTGTCATCTCGAGGTTCGGGGTTCGTCGGTCAGCTCGGGTCTAGCCTAAATTGATCGGTCAGGATAGGTCAGATGCCCCTCATGGGACGCCCTGCTTTCCCTTTTATAGGCCAAGGGAAAGCACGGGTTACAACGGAGGAAAAGAGAAGAACAAGAGAGGAGTTCTTCCAGGATCGCCGGGTCCTTCTTCTCCTTCATGCGGGTCCCGATGACCCTGTAAATGTCAACAGGGATAGCTCCACGTCGCGGCCCTTTCTGTACTAGCGCCATGCGTAGACGTTGTTTGTCGGTCATGGCGTTCCATTCCATCGCAGTGGGTGTCTTGGTGAGCTGACACGCGTGTCAGCGCTCGTACAAGGGTTTGGCAGAACAACACCGGTACGACCGATGCTATTCCTAATGTGAATCCTTAGGTATGGTCTGTCATGGCCACAGGTTACATCAGGGCGCGCCGGTCTCTTCCTTGGTGTCAGAGCTTTGACCTAGGCCCATACGCTTAGACCTAGAGTGGTTGGTGGTGGTATGGGTCTCTCTATCGGGCGAGGCGGAACCCATGACCTCGGGGTCGGTGGCGTGAGCCGTCCCTAGAGGCCGAAAGAGGCGAGCGCAAGCCCAAGGGTCGGGCGAGGATTGAGCCCACGGCCTTGGGGTCGAGGCGAGGCGAGCGCAAACCAAAGGTCAGGCAGAGGCGAGCCTGCGGACTTAAGGGGTCGATCGAGGCGATCATGCAAACCCGAGGGTCAGGCGAGGTGGAGCGCAAAGCCAAGGGTTGGATGAGGTGGAGCCCGTGGCCTCGGGTCGGCCAGTGGAGCTCTCCCCTAGAGGTCGAGGCGAGACGGCGCAAACCCGAGGTCTGAGGCGAGCTCGTCCCGGAGGTCGAGGGCGGGCGCAAACCCAAGGGTCGAAGCGAGGCGAGTGCAAACCAAAGGGTCGCCGAGGCGAGCCTCTTGACCTTAGGGTCGAGGCGAGTAGAGCGCAAACCCGAGGGTTGGGCGAGGCGGAGCTCATGACCTTGGGGTCCCGGCGAGGCGCAAACCCAAGGGTCGAGACAGGCGGAGCCCATGGCCTCGAGGTCAGGGCGAGGCAGAGCCTTCTGCTAGAGGTCGGGTCTGGTGGAGCCCGCGGGCTCGGGGTTAGACAAGGCAGAGCTCGTGGCCTCGGGGTCGGGTGAGGTGGAGCTTGCGCGCCTAGGGGTCGGTTGGAGCCATAGTCGTGCTCTTGACTACTCGGATGACTCAATGTTGATGGTCCTTAGCTCCTCCTCTTCAGGTACCCTAGTATTAGTCCCCGACAGTAGCCCTCGAGCCCGCGGAGGAGTAGAATACTCATTCAGAGGCTTTTCTGGATGGGAGGACTCTGATGGCCTTGGCCTTCTTTTGTCACCCACGGCATGTCCTAGGGACAACGATTCCCTTTCGTCGAGATTGGACCCCTCGGGGGTATAGCCGTGAGATTAGGTGGGTTGAAAAAGGTCTTTCCTGACTTTGACCCCTACGGGGGTCTGTTGTTCTGCGACCATGCGTTTGGTCTTCATGCGAGTCCAACTTTCCTCAAGCCCCCGCGCGCAGCAGCAATGAGTCCGTCGAGGTTGGCTCGTCTTTGTGATCGTCACCCCATCCACGGTTTCGCAATCGGAGGGTTGAGCCATGCCATGATTTTCCTCTATGGGCGAGCCAAGGTGCTTGGTGAGTTGATAGGCTAACTAGTCCGAGTGGGGCCTCGGCATCACTGTTCACGGGGATCCAGCTTGGGTCACCGGTGACCGACTCTAGATTCTCGGCCGGTCAATCCATATAGTTCTCGGGTCCGTTCATTTGGTCTCGAGGGCTCACGTGCTTTCTTTAAGGAAAACCCATGGATCGTACGGCGAGACTCGAATGTGGGCGGAATGCCCGTGGCGCTCATGCGCTCGAGTCTTGCCGCTAAGCGGGCCCATCCTTTCCACCCCTTACTCTAAAGGTGCCGGGCGGTTTGTCGAACCCGTCGGTGGGCCAACCTTTGAACTCATAGGCCCTAAACGGGCCATAGTAGCATTCTAGCTCCGTATTCCTCTTACACCTTGATGGGTCATGGCTCGTCCGAGAGGCAAAATGTCTAGCGAGTTTTCCGAGGGAATGGGCCGAGGTTTGCGTGCGCACGCATGCAATGGCGAGATGAGGTGGTAGATCGTGGCGGCGTGGAGATCCGGTGAAGCGGTTGGTTTCCTCGCACGTTGCCCCTATAAAACCAAAGGATTGGCCCCTAGGCTTTATACACACACACGCCGCATCCTTGCCTCCAGCCACCCACCACATGCCGCCAATAGCTTAGGTTTCCTGCCTCTGTATCTCCACCGCCGTTGAGCTCATATCCATCCACCCCCTCCTCCAATGGATCCGTGGTGCCGTTCCGACATCACCTTCCAGCGCATGGAGGGCCTCGTCCATCACGGTCTTCTCTGCGTGCGGACCTCGACCGAGGTGTGGCTGCTGCCCGATGAGGAGGATTTGCCATCGCCACCCGATGGCTATGTGGTGTCGTTCGCCCACTTCCACGAGCATGGGTTCGTGACCCTCGCCCATAGATTTCTTCGAGGGCTGCTGCA